TCTATCAGATAAAGCATACCTAGAATGCTTGCAAAAGAAAAATGTACTCTTCAGTTTAAATACAAACAATATGGATAACAAAGCGAAGCACTCATAGAATGCTGTTTATTCTGCTTAATTTATAAAACAATAAGTGATTAGGTTATTCTGTAACAATTACCAGTTTTACTCTAGTGTATACAATAAATTAGGCTTCAAAATATATTTCCACATAATTGCTTTTTCTTAGAGCTTTTGTTTATTTTTAACCAGGGTTTGATTTTCAGTCCATGTCAGGTCATAAAAGCATACAGACTAGACCAGACCAGAGCAGACTGTAATTTTGGTTGGAAGGACCTACAGTGATCATCTAGTCCAATTGCTTGACCAATTCAGTGCCGACCAAAAGTTAGAGCATTATATTAAGGGCACTGTCCAAATGCCTCTTAAACGCTGACAGGCTTGGGGCATCAACCACCTTGCTAGGAAGCCTGTTTGATCCACATTGGCCAGAACCTAGTGAAAGCATAGTGCTTACATACAAAAATACATAGAAGACTTCTACCAAACTTACAGCACAAATTCTTCACTTTCCAAATTAGAGGATGCCAGAATTTGTCTGTGTGACTTTTACCTTTTTTTTTTTTTTTTTTGAGGTGTTTGTGATTCCCACATTTTAATATGTATATCTAGCTTCTAGTATCGTGGTCACACACTTCCTTTTCCTTCAGATCCCCAAATCATCAGTGCCTAGAATACATAACAAAAGTAATCAATCTTCCTTTTCATCTCTTTTATTCAGTATTAATCCCAAACACCACTGATCTGTTGGGAATCAAGAACAATAGTTTAATGTAAAGTTCAGAGGAAAGATTTAATTATAAAGCCTTGTGACCGTTTTCTTTTCTCTCCAATTACTCTCCCCTTTTCCTTCAGCTCCTGCCTCAGACCAATATCACGTCCTCTCAGGTCCTCTGTTCCACTCCGAGGAACATGTCAGCTGCTGTGTTACCCAAAGAGTGACAGCACAAGTCTCCACACACCAATACAAAACTGTGGCTAAGAGAGACTCTCTCTTCAAGATGGCTCCCTCAACCAGCTTGAGTTTCAGCTGCCAAAGCAATGTGAACACAGGGGAAGGGGTGGAAGCACACAGCTGAGAATGGTGCCAGAGCAGAACCTGGACAACCCAGCGTAAGACAGGCTTACTGTGCTCTTGAATCACACGGTGAGTGACACAGGAACTTGCCTTACCATGACAGCAACCAATGTGTGCGGCTGTGACAGTAACCAATGCATAAAGGGAACAGAAACACTCTCTTATGCTGGGCTAGTAGTTTCCGTCCACATATGCACAAAAAAAATTCAATATTGCTAAGATCTTTCTTTGTCCTTCTGTTTTAACATTGACAATGTCTAGGACAACAGAATGGAGGAAACACAAAACAATTTATTACAACTTGCAAATTAAGTTTCTATAGGCTTTTTGTTTGTTTTTCCTTAAATAAGGCTTAAAGGTGTTACAAAGTTCTTGTGCATCCATTAGCCTGCACTGTTGCCCTCACTGGGGAATTCCCTGGGTATACACAAGCTCAGAGATCAGCACAGAGCAACCCAGGCTGAGCATAGAGAAGCGTAGGATGAGTCTACAAGGTTCTTTGTAGGAGTAAGTACTTTTACCTGTTATCCAAAGCTTAAGAACTGCATATTATCTTTTTCAAATTATTTTAATAATTAATACTGTTCCCATTTCGTATGATGCAGCTGTCTTAATCCTCTATGACATTAAAGCTGCATAAGAATCCACAGCAGAAGTCTGCTAAAAAAAATCCTGTTCTCCTATCAGCTAAAAAGCACACAGTCCACTGTGCACTGAGCATGAGCAGTACAGAAAAGCACATATACAGACTTCAGGAACACAGAACAGACTGTCATTAAATATATGTGCGTGTGTGTGAATGTATATAAATACATGAATAGTTGCACAACCCCCACATCTCCACTAGATTCTGCAGAACAGCACAGAATAGTGTCCAGGTATAGAGATGATGAACAGGTGCCGCACTTATTTTTCAGTCAGTGGAGCTGTGGGAGGCAGGAATTAAAGGTGTGAATTCAAAACAGGAAGAACAAAGGGAAAAACAAATTCCAGCTGGGGACATCACAGCACTGCTCTGCTGACCCAAGCAGAAAAGGGAACAAGTTGTAAATTACTGGAAAAAAAGGTTTAGTAAAAAGAAGCTATGCTATATAGGCATTAGTAGTCTCTCCACACCACACAGAGCTTAAAGTGTGAATATACATAAGATTTAAATATAGAAACCCATGCAACATATTAGAAAAAAATCATTTACATATAGTTATTTACAAAAAACACGCATATGATTAGATAAAGAGTTGTACAAATACATGCATCACTAAGCAGGATACTCTCAATTCTCATATTAACATTTGCATACTTATATATCATACTTTCAAATATTTAAAGATTTTTTTCTCTGCTTCTTGAAAACTCATGAAAGTTCTTCCTGTGATGAAATTCACTTTTAAAACCGCAGAGACTGCTGCGTGCTTAAATGAGCCATTATTTGCTAGCTCATAATCATCTTTTCTATGTCTGCTAGAATCACTGATGCATTAATTGCTTATCAAAATTTGAAACAGTTCATGAGTCACTCTGAAGATAAAATAAATAAATATTAATGAGTCAATTTCAACAGAATTCATGTCCTCTGCCTCTTAAAGCTGAAAGACTCCATTTATTACATGTCAGAATTAGGTCTCGATACCTAATATATGGGCAAATATACTCAAAGCCATACTCAGCACATCAGAACTGAGATCACCATGTTTCAAGGGATCAATCCATCATAGTCTTCTTTGACCAAATTATAGATCAAAGAGAGAAAGGCCTAGTCAATTGTAACATAGAGATTAAGTGAAAGACGTCTAAATACACAGTTCTCATACAGACTGAATGAAAAATGGAGTATTTTGGTTTTAAAGTTTGGAAGTGATTCTATGAGATGATCTTAAGTAAACACTTGATCTTCAAACAAACACTGACACAAAATATCACTGCATAAGAAAATCTGGTACTTCTTGCATGACATGAAAGAGAGGAGAGGGAAGGCATAGAGTTTTCAAGAATACTAAAATAAATCATAAAACCTTTCATTTTGAAACCATGAGTGTGCTGAGAGACTTCTAAGTCTGGGCCAATGCTAGTTCACTGCTGAAAATCGAAGCTTAAAACTTTTCAAGCTAAATGACCCAAAATGAAACAGGAAACAGAAGTCTTTCCCTTGAGCCCTTACTTTTCCATTCTAGTTTTTCCCTGTAGGTAAAAGAGATCACTCAAAAATCTGAGGAGGAATGGGGATTGTCTCTAAAAGGCAACTGAAGCCCTGAAACGTATTAGGAATTAGACAGACATCAGTGAGCCACTTCTGAGCCAACTGTTAAAACTTTTCTAAAAAAAATCACAGTTTTTCTTAATGAAGTTAATCAGCAGAAGATTCTGGATAATGTAGCTGGCAATTTCCATGTTACTCACTGAATACAAGCAGGATGAAGAAACCATTTTAACAGATTGTGGGTCTGAAGCGAAGAATCTTCTATTCATTAAATTAAGTCCAGTTGTTTATTGTCAGATGTTCGTATCAGCTGCTTAGCAGAAGATACTGCTTCAACTCCAGCTAGTCACATAAAGAGGCAGTAGAAGTATTACTGCCCCACAGTGTCACAGCACAGTGACACCAAGACAACCTGTTTAGACCTGTGTATACTGTAAAACTAAAGGTGTCTACCCAGACCAAGATATCCAATCCAGCATTAAACACAGAATATGTCACTGTCAGTGAAGCCTGTATGTAAGGGTATAGAGAAAAATACAGTTACAAAATGTATTTTGGTTCAATATAACATATGAAGAATTTAAACTTTGCTACTTATGTAACATTCTTAAATTTTCAGATACACTACCTTTATTTATAATGTGTAACTAAATAATGTGTATTTTCTTTAACCATATCTTACAAGCTCTTCATGCATTCACAGCTAACACAGCTCTCACACAACTTGCTTTTTCTCTTAAGTATATTTAAGGAAGGATTTAGTTCATATTAAAAAGGAACTGTGACACTTTCTTTGAAACCTGCAAAATTATGCAAATAATAAACGCAAAGTCATAGGTTCTTTAAGACAGGCTACTGGCCTCTAAAAGAAGCATTGTTTAAATATATCATTATGTGCATGCAAGATAACAGTGATTAAACAATTATGCTCATGAAAAACATTTTTTTGTACTCTTAAAAATTATTCTCGTATGTCATAGGATGTCACAGAAAAAGTTTCCCGTCTGCAAATGAATACTGCTGAGATTTAACATTCTCATTTACACAAATGTCAGGATATTATTCTCGTTTTATAGAATATTTGTGGAATTAGTTTTTCACCAGATAATTCACCTTCCTTTCATTAATATTTTAATTAATATTAAATTTCATTAATATTTTAAGCTTTCAAACTTAATGACACATTCCATTGTTCACTATTGTTCAGCAGAACTTAACAGACAGTTGTAAAGTTAAACCTAAAGCTACTCAGTGCATGTACTAAAAATGTTAACTTCTAAATCAAAAGGGTATAGGAAAAGAAGTTTCCGTTGGGTTATGCAACAATAATTTTCACTCAGCAAAATTCTGAAAAATGCTGTGGTTTCATGGGAAGTGGGAAAAGATGAATTCCACACAAGAATTCTTTTCATACTGAATAGCCTTTACTGTAAATGCTGCCAAAACATTGAATCCCCATTTGATGTTAAACTTGTGAATAGAATATGGGAAATTAGCAGGTCATGTGCATGAGTAAAATAAAAACTGGCAATGCTGGAAAAAAGCATTGTCAAATAAACTGATACAAATGTGTTCATCACCATAAAAATGCTCAAACAACTAGTAGTTATGTTAATTTTCTTAGTGTCATGTTTGCACTAAGTGTGAATAAAACCAGCTACTTACCTGCTCAGATAATTCTGGCCCATTGACACGAGCCTGTAGGACAGCATCATTAACAAGCAAGTGGAAGTTCAGAAGCACATGCTCAATGTCGTATGTTCCACGCATGGCACTTGAGAGCTCCTCCAGGGACTGAATATATCCCCGCCAATGAAGATCAACTTCTGCTGTGTTAGCTAAGCAGCCTCGGATGATGTTGAGGCAGAAGCCTATACAGGGCTTACATACAGTCAGCCCCTGGCAATGGGGGCAGTACTGCATTCTCAGTAAAGCTCTGCTACAGTCTTTAGAGAAATGCAGATGATCTGTTTTATTGATCATTTCAATCCCCAAATTCAGAGCCTGCAAGAAAGTCTGGCTGGGTGACAGTGATCTTCCCATTTGTCTTATGGCCTTTTGGGGACTATTAAGAAAGGGTCTGATGTCTCTTCTCGCCATTTGGAGGCACTCCGCATATTCCATTGAAATGTCAGTCAGACCAGGGTTAATCACATGGTTGTAGATGACTGGGAAGAGAGTGTCAAAAAATCTGTTCACACATTCCTCTGTGCTAATGTCTGTGCCAAATATGAAGAGTCCAACATCTGTGAAAAACTCCTGAACATGTGTAGTAGATTCAGCAGCCATGTTTCTGCATGTTTTGCAGAAAAGTGTGCTTGTGTAATTCTCAGCCAGTCTGATAAGCATTTCAAAGGTTTCTGCAATAAAGTAAGTTTGTTATTTTTAAGGTTTTAAATATAAGAAATTAAAGTAAGAAATCAAAACAAGAAATTAAAACAATTACATCAGGACATCTTACATCTATCTGCAATGCATTTTTTTACCTTGCAAGTAATTCTACAACACAATCAATAATCCATATGTTTTCTTGGCAGGACATATCAAACAATCTAAAAACTATAAAAGGAAATTGATGGTAAGATGAGTTATTAGGTTACAAAATACAACAAAGCCCTACTGTATTTTTGTACATATATACATACGTAAGTTCTCTCATCTCATGACTCATTCTGCAAGTTGCACTAGAAACTTAAATGCTCCCAGTCACTTCAAGTCATTCCTCTTACCATCCTAAAATGGATGGGCAAAAGTAATATTCAGCAATTTAAACAACTCTCCTATTCCATTAAAACTTTTTAAAAGATAAGTTTTGTCTTTTTCTCTTCCAATGGAAGAGGTGTACCCAATACACATGAGAATTATGTTCTATGTTTGAATCATACATGCTTTTAAACGATGCTACTGTTTGGTCTGGCAATTGCTATGGTCAAGCAAAGTGCTGGAATGTGCAGAACTGCCTTCTTTGGGCACTGCGATGCACCATCTCTAATCCTGAAGATCTGCACAACAGGTAAAGCCTGAATGGATAAACTTACATTTCATTTCAAATGTTAGGCAGCAATCCTTAAGTACACTGAGTAGTTCCTAATAAAAGTATTCTTCCCTGACTTAATCTATGATTTGCAAGTAAGGAAAAAAGCTGGCTTTCTAAACAGAAAAGGGGTGTCTGAATGAGGAATTTTCTAGATCTGCTTGAGAATCTTGCACTTCAGGGAAAGCAAAGGAGCAATATATAGTTCAAAAAGAAACTTCTTTAGAGCTGAGAATATGTATTACAAGTATTAACACACTTTTTCCACTGGATGGCTATGACTCAGTAACTTTCTTTTATTCATTCAAACTTTACAAATTCTCACGTATTTATTTTTTTCACATTTATCTTTTCAATGGGACTCTATAGAAATAAAGTGACAAAAAGCACAAAGTGCAGTTAATACTTTCCAAATGGATGTTAAAATAGGCAGAATCAAATAGTGTCAAACTATGCCACACAGTTAATGAAGCAAACTGAAGTCTGATGTTAGGTCAGTGATTGAAAGGAACAGTAAAAAGAATAATTTTAATGTAAAAACCAAGACTAGCTATCATGTCTCTAACATATATTTATGCATAAGAATAAATGCTTTATATTCTGATTAAAAGTTTGTCAGTGCAATGGGTTTGAAATTGCAAACTTTGTGTAAAGATCCTAGGGAAGACATATTCATCTAATCTGCTTATACTCTCTATGTATTCTTTGTTTTCTCCAAAGAAAATGAGATATATGCTTCTAAATCAGATTCATTACCTCTATTCCTGTGCTATTAAGTGCTGACTGCCCACAATAGAGTAGAAAAGTGCATCCTATTCATCTTTTTTTTTAACATTACTATTGCACATTCATATGTGCATCTCTCCTAAAGTGAATTTCACTATAAACATTCATACATGCCAAATATCACAGTGATTCTGCATAGGGTTTGATTTCTTTCAAAAGTCAGACTCCTGAAGCCAGGACACCACATGGAGCTTCCAGCAGTGGAGACCTATTCCAAAGCCTCTTCGGTTTATCTCGTGATTTGACATGTGGAAGTACCAGCTGAGTAACTCCGGAGGCCACCACTGCCTGCATCCACTGTTCATTCACCAGCTCTGTGACATGTTTCAACCTCCAGTACCTCATGCCAGATCATACCTGAGACACCTGCATTGCAGCCAATGTTAATATGAGAGCCATGTTCTTCTGGAGCAGCAGATGAGAAAAAACATATCAGATAGGGCGTATTGATCAAGACACCCACTTTAATGCAACTGAACAGAGGATGAGACCTCCACCAGCTATAAAAGCAGTATGGACACCTAGCTCACATGGGGACACATGTACATGGACAGCTAAATTATAACCCTAAATATTCCACTGTACATTTTGTCTCATTTTTATTGGAGGGAATAAACACTGCAAAGAAAGTACAATCCTACTATGGAGGATTTATTTAGTTGCCTAAGAGTGTTCAGCGCAATTTTCAATGGTAGTTGCTATGTGCCTGTCTGGAAGGGTATGGGTTTTCTGCAGGTCCTGTGTCACATCTGAAGGCTCTGTGTGGATGTTTTGCATTTAAAATTGAACTAGATGGCTGTGCCTAGACAGCTGAACTAAAGCCAGTTATCACTGACTCAAGAGCCCTTCATATAAAAGCCCGGAGCAGACAGAATAACAAAGACAAAAATTTAAGTCAAATAAATTCTTGGTTTAGATGGCTTAAAAGAATAAAGTGTGAAGAATAATAAAACCTCCTAGGAAAATGGCTGTTTTTGTAACTGTCGATTTGGTCTTTTACACAAAAGTAGGCAATGTTAGTAAAATAAAGATGCTATAATAATCTAGAATGACACAAATAAGGTTTTCATGACCCTTCTCAATTTTTCATTATTACTTTTACCTAGATGAAAACCATAAAATATGTGATATAAAATATCAGTTACAATCTGTGGCTTCAGTATCCTATTACCAAGAGCACAAATATTAGATGAAAGAATAAATCATGCCACACATGGATAACCAATAGATTCTACAACGTGGTCTAAATAATAAGAAACCTTCAAGATTGAACTATATTACTAGTGGCCCAGCAACCAACTGATGAATTAGTTCAATAATCAGCTGCATGATTTTTTTACTCTTTGTGCTTTTCTAAATAGCATATGATAATACTGGCCACCTGTGTTTACGATTCTGCACCATGCTGTTTGTCATTTTAGGGTTTCTTACAAAATTTGTCAATCAAGTTTATTTTAGTGGCGTGTTTCCTACTTTATAACCACCAAAGCTATTCCAGTGATTTGTTTTGCTGCCAGACAGCTTGAAGAATGACAAACAGCAAATCAGACCTATGTTTATTTTCAGTATTTAACAGCTTCTGTGAACACCTTACAATGGCAATCTATGTCATTTACAACACTTTCAGAGATTTCAATGACAAATCAAGTCATGCTGGTTCAATACTGCAAATGCCTCATGCAAGTGCCTTCCAGCTCAGATGGCTAACTACTCAGATAACAAATGGCCCTACTGTTAAGGACTGAGGTTTAAAAATGTGTTTTTCTATTTTTTGAGTCTATGGGCCCAGACTAACATCATTAGTCTTAATTATTCAGCCACATAAGAGAAGTGTGAGTTTTTCATCAGTATAAACCCAATACCTATAAAATACATTTTAAATATACTCAAGATGAACCAGGCAAGCTCTTTCTGTTCTCATTAAATGCCTTTTAATCTGCAGGTTTGGTGCCTCTTGTCTCCATCCTTTATGACATCTTCATACAATATCCTACAGATACCTTTGTAGCATTACTGTGAACAATGGGTGACATGTCAACTTTATTTTATTTTTGCTACACTTACAATTTGTACACTCCTAAGCCAAAACTCAGGGCTGTCAATACATTAACCCATTAGTTTCTTAGAAAGGACAGTAATAACTTTCTTCCTGGTTTTGCTAACAAGGGTCGAAACATAAGGCAAGGAAAAAAATATAGATGAGCACTTTTTTTGTTTTATATATTTTGCATTTATTCAGCTGAGTCTTCATATCAGTACATATATATATATAGGTTTTTTGAAAAGAGTGCATTTAATAAAGTGGTCACATAGTGAGGTAAAGTAACTATCAATCAGTTCACTGCTTTAAAAGATTTTCAATCTTTCATTCACCTTCTTTAACCTTTCTGTTCCTTAGAGTCACAGCTAGTTCTAAATTATAAAGGCACCACAATGTAGTAACCAGTCCAGTGGATTACTCCCTTTAAAAGACCACACAAAAGTATACAAACGCCTTGTTTACTAGAACAACTCACAAAGAGAACATAAATGAAACCTTGGTTATTTTTTTTAACTAGACATCAATCAGATGTAATGGAAATACTGCACAGAATGAAATAGAATTTGGATTGGATTTTAAACCACCCCTGCAATTCTAATACTTAACAGTTTTGGCAAAGTGTTTCTCTACTACAGGAACCTTAGAAAATTAATTAAAAAAAATAATCTGTGGAATCGTGCTGTCACAAAAGCAACTGCATTTTCTTTAAGTTTACCCTTTCTTCACACGGATAAATGTTTTATAGAAACTGCTAAATAAGAAAATGCATGGTCTAATTCTGAGTATTACCTTTTGAAAAACCCATAATACTTAACACAAAGATAGTCTAATAAATTAAAAATCCAGTAGTGGGCCAACAAATTGCAAAGTGTTATAATTCAGAAGTAATTCACCAGCCTACATTATATATCATAAATTAATCCACACTGAGTCAGGGTAACATATAGAACTCAATAAATTATAACTAGACAGGTTAAAATCCATCCTTGAACTATGGACACAGTATTTAGGAAGAATGCCTTTCATAGTCCAGGGGGAATCCAAAACTGATGATCCTGAATCACCTTAAGTATCAGCCCATAATATACAGGAATCCAGATAACTAAATCCAACTAAAACCTGAAAAAAAGAATAATACTATTCATTTATTATGATTTGAATAATCCTATTGGAAAGTATTAGCTTGTTGCCAGTTGCCATTGATGTTCGGTGATCTCAAATGTCTTCGTTCTGTTTTATGGGCAGCACAAATAATCCAGAAGCATCAAACTGTCTCTAGTAAAGATTTACAGTCTGAACAAGTATATCTTGCCACACTGTACTATTAGAGTGAAGGGGAATAACTCAGGTAAAGTTTACAGCTTAGCAAACACAAGATGTTAAAAAAAAATAGGAAAAAATAATTATGGAAAAAAAATTAATCCAAGCAGTATTACACACATAATCTCTTTATTTAAAATACATCAAACAGAGAAATATGTATAGGTAGGAAATTCAAT